GTGCTGTGCTGTGCTGTGCTGTGCTGTGCTGTGCTGTATGCTGTGTGTGTGTGCTTTTGTGTTTGTCTGTATGTGTGTATGTGTGTATGTGTATATGTGTGCTTTCTCAACCCCCGTGGGGGGGGTTGGGAGCTTGCCACGGCCGTGGGCTCGAGGGCCCACCAGCTGTTTTGGCGCAGGGCCGCGCGCGCCGCGGCGCGGCGCATGCAGGCGGGCTGCTGGGTGTGCCTCCCTTGTCTCCCGCCAGGCTGGGCCTGGCACCTGGTGGCAGGCGCGGCGCCTGTCCCCTCGGCGCCTGGCGTGTGGCTCGGCGGCGGCGATGGTGCCGTGGTGGCGGCGGGCGCAGGCGAAGGCGAAGGCGAAGGCGCGCCCGGGCCGCGCGCCGCGGAGCCGGCCCCCGCGCGAGGTCCGGCTGTCGCACCCGCGCTGGGAGGCGGCTGCGGAGCCGCCGACGCCGCCAGGGCCGGCGCGGGAGGAGGAGCGGGCTCGGCGGCCGGCTCCAACGACCCCGCTGCGGCACGGGTGCCAGCCCAAGAGCCGGCCGGCGGCCCTGGCTGGAGCCCAGGCGCCCCTTCCGGCCAGCGCCGCAGCCGGGGCAACCAGGCTGGGCAGGACTCGGAGGGGGCGCGGGGCGCTGGGCGGCGCTCGCGGAGCCCGCCGAGGCGCAGGAGCCGGCGCGACCGCTCGGCACCGGCACGGGAGCCGCGGCGGCGGCGCCTACGGCGCGGGCGGCCCCGCAGCCGCAGCCGGCGGCCCCGCAGCCGCAACCGGCGGCCCCGCAGCCGCAGCCGCAGCCGCCGGCACCGCGGCCGCGACCGGCGCCGCTCCCCCGCGCGGCCGGGCGGGCCCGCTCCTGGCCAGCCGAGCGCCGCGCCACCCCCTGGCCCCTGCAGGCCGGGGCGCCGGGCCGGCCCGCCTGCGGAGCCGGCGGCGGCGCCCGCGGCAGGCCCGGCTGCGGAGCCGAGCCCCGGGGCGCCGGCGCGGGAGCCCCCGGAGGAGGACAGCGACTCCTACGACAACTACTCGGACGAGGAGACGGGCGCCGCGGGCGCGCCGACGGCAGCGGCGGCAGCAGCCCCGACGGCGGGGCTGAGCGCGGAGGCGGCTCGGGCAGCGGGGCAGAGCGGAGCAGCAGCAGCCGCGGCGGCAGCAGCCGGGCGGGGTGGCGGCGCCGGGGACGCCCGCCGCGCAGTGCTCGCCGCAGGGCAGCGGCAGGCGGCAGCGCCGGGGCAGCCGGCACCGGCCCCCGCGGGGCGACGGACGCGGCCGACGCTGCCCCCGCCGGCGGCGGCGGAGCCGCCACCACCGGCCCACCCCGAGGGGCGACGGAACCCGGCGGGGAGCCCCCCCGGCCCTGCGGCACCGGCGGCAGCGGAGGCCGCGACGGACACGCTGGAGCCGCTTCCGGGCGTGCCCAGCGCGCGCCTGGTCGCAGCGGCTCTCCAGGAGGCCGGCTGGTCGGGCTTCACGGCGACGGACCTCCCGGAGGGGCAGGTGCTCCTGCGGTGGAGCCGCGGGGAGGCAGCGCGCGAGCGCTAGCCCGGATTGCCACCAGCCGCGCGGCGCGGCGGCGGTGGCCACGCCCCCGCGCGAGGGCCAGGCGCTCCGCGCCGCTGGCCCCGCCGAGGGGGCGGCTGCCCTCGAGTTCGCCCTGGACGAGGGCGATCACGACATCGAGGTCTGCTACGAAGCGCTGGGCGGGAGCCTGGCGGAGCGCTGCTGGGCGACGCTCACGGAGAACGAGCAGCTGGGCGACGAGCTGCTTCCGGCCCCCCCCATGGCATGGGTTGAGGGCGACGGCGGCGACGGCCCCGAGGCGGACACTCCGCCTCCGCAGGGCGCCGTCGGCGAGGCCGGCGCAGGCGCGCAAGAACCGGCCCCCCCCGAGCGGGCGGCGACGGTCCGGAGGCCGGCGGGCTGACCAGGGAGCTGCTCCTGCAGGCGCTGCGGGAGGGCCTGGACGGGTCCGGCTGGCCGGCCGCGCGGGTGCTCGCCCCGGCGCTGCAGGTCGCCATTCGCGGGCTGGGCTTCCGCGAGGCGCGGGCCCGGCTCTTGGCGGCCGCTGCGGCGATCCCCGACGCGGAGGGTCGCCGTCGGGTCGCCTGGCGAGCGCTGGCCGGCAACGGGCGCGCGCGGCGCGGCTGCCCCTCGCGGCGCGGGTAGGCCGGCGGGGCCTGAGCGCGCGGAGCTGCTGGGCGCCGGGCGCCTGGGGCGGCACCCCGCAAAGTCGGGGTGCCAGGTGTCGGCCGAGGGCCGCGCTTGCTTTGCTGTTGCTGCTGCTGCTGTTTCTCGTCTTCTCCTCGTCGTCCCCTTCTGCTTTCTTCCTTTTTCCCAAGCCACAGGGCGCCCTCTCCGAGCTTGTAAAAAAGTGTATATGTGTGCTTTGATGTGCTGTGCTGTGCTGTGCTGTGGGTGAGGGAGGAAGGAAGAGGAGGGAAGAGGAGGGGGAGGAGGAGGAGGAGGTGAGTCGCGGGCGCGGCGCGCTAATGAGGAGACGCGGGTGCGCCGCGGCAGAGAAGAAAACCAGAACCCCACCAAGCACGTGGGGAAAAACATCAGGTTCCCTGCAGGAAATTAACGATTTTTGCTTATTGGGGCTCGATTGGAGTGCCCCTTGAAGCGTGTTCGGGACCTCTTTTTGTGTTTCTGCGGATCTCTTGGGGACCTCTTGGGTTCTTAGGCACTTCTTGGTGCCTCTTGGGGTCTCCTGGGGGTCTCTTCGGCCAAAAGGTGTGCATTTTCAGTTCCTCGTCCCCGTCTTGGGCGCCGCCTTGGGGCGTTCGTGGGCGGTTTGGGCGTCTCGTGGGCCGTCTTGGCCCCCTCGTGGACCGTCTTGGGGCCCTCTTGGGGGCATCCTCGACCAGCTTGGGTGCCTCGTGGGCCGTTTTGGACGCAGTGCAGGCCCAAAAGGCGAACACGCCAAAAACATCAGTTTTCCGATAGGAGGTCGACGATTTTTGCTTATTGGAGCTCTCTCGGAGTGCCTCTTGGGGCGTCTTCGGGGCCTTCGAGGGCCTTCTTGGCGTCATGGGAGTCGTCTTGAAAGGCATCCGGCGCCATCGGAGCGCGTTTTCGAGCGTTCCGAAGCTGTCTTCGGGCGATCTTGGACGGCCCCCGGCGCTCCAGCTGGGCTCCCGGAGCGCCGGGCCCCACATTTGCGGTCGGGGTCCTGGCCCCCGGCCCCCGGACCCGGACAGACTGACAAAAAGACTGACAGACATGCATGAATGCATGCATACAGACATGCATACATAACAAAAACATGTACATGTTGTAAACACATGTATGTCGACACATGTATATACACGCATACTCACTCCGTATCCATCGTTCCCTTTCTATGGTATGTATGTGTGGCGAACCCTGGCACAAAGAACAAAAACCTGGGAACCCAACCGCCCACCGAGACCAATCCGGAACCCGGAAACGGGAACCCGGAACCCAAAACTGGGATCCCAGCCGCCTACCGAGGCCAATCCGGAACCTGGAAACGGGAACCCGGAACCCAGAACCGGGAACCCGGGGACCCAGCCGCCTACCGAAATCGGCGGCGAGCTCTCGCCAAATCTTTCAATATCTGCCTGGACCCCACACAGTGCAACCACTGATTGGGGAATGGCCGAGATAGATCGGCCTCTCGACAGCAAGGACGCAGGCTCCTGGGCGGGATGGGAGGCCCAGGCCCCGATGCGACTGGAAGTCGATGCTTCCTCCCCCACCCACGGCTCGACCCCGGCGTTGGTTCCGGAGACCGCGGGGATCGTTCAACCTTGAACGATCGGGCGTTTCGGAAAGGCCAGATCGTTCAAAGATGGGCCGATTCTGGGCCACGAGCGGCGTTCAACCTGAAACCAAACGGCGGGGTCGCCGCTGGTCGACGCTACGCGAACCTGCCGTAGGCCGCTTCCCCTCCGTCGGCGCCCCTGGCTGGGACATACCTCGGCTCTCCAGCAGCATCTGGACGAGCTGGGTCCCCCCAAGACGCTCTCGGCGAGGCCCAGGTGCTGAAGAGCATCCCGAGGCTGGAGCACTTCCAAGAGACAAGACTCCCAAGATAACTAATCAAGACAAGGCTGCATGCACATGAATGTTCGGAGTTCCGCGCCGAGAGTTTACGCTTAGGTAGCGTTTCCCCAAGAAGTGTTCAAATGACGGGTTCTTACTTTTGACTTTCTGAAGGAACTGGATGGCTTTCCTGGGTCTTCGCCGCCTTGGCGATCGTGCCCTCTCGCGAGCGCCTCGCAGGCGCCCCGTGCGCTGGGTGGGTTTCCCGAGGGTTCGCCGCGTGGGCGCCCGTGCCCGCTCGTGGGCGCCTCGTCGGCGCTCCGTGAGCTGTGCGCGAAGTGGGTTTCCCGGTGCCCGAGGCTCCGCCTCGTTGGCACCCGTGCCCGCTCATGGGCTCATGGGCGCCTCGTAGCCGCTCGTAGCCCACACTGCTGAGCTTTAGCCACATGGATCAACACCACATATGGCACACGACATAGCTCACTGGGTTTACTCACGCCACATAACACACGCAACATAGCTCACACCACGTAGATTCGTAGATTACACAACGTGGCTCCCACCATGAAGCTGACACCACAGAGCGTACACAACTTAAATTACACCACGTAGCATGCACACCAGAGCTTGCACACCATAGCTTTTATCGCACCAACATGCTGACATAACACAGCTCACACGACAGATCGTCCAGCTCCACAGTGCTATAACACATTATTTGGGGTCGACGCTGGTCAACAGTTATTTTCTGAAAGAAATACCTCGAAGCTCGAACCTCCACCATTGGCGGCGCGCACAACAGGGAGTGAGTGGCACGAGGGAGGGTCTTAGAAACGCCAGGGGTGTTCTGCTAAACCTTTCTCGCAATCCTCCAAAGCCTCCTGGAAGGCCCCTGCCTCCTAAGAACCCCCCGCCCCTTCTTCGCGCCACCCCCATGCGCGCGCCGCTGGCGGCCCCGCCCCCTGACGTCACGGCGACGGCGGCGGGGAGCGGGCCTGCCCCGCTGCTGTGGCACTGGCGCCAGCGCGCGAGCGCTCGCGGGCCGCGGCGGGGGCTCCGTGCTGCCGCCCGCCGGCTTGATGGCCAGGCCGACGGACTGCCAGGGGGGACTCAGGATGATGATGATGATGATGAGGAGGAGGAGGAGGAGCAGCAGGAAAAGGACGAGCAGGAGAAGGAGGAGGAGGATGAAGAGGAGGAGGAGGAGGAGGAGGAGGAGGAGGAGGAGGAGGAGGAGGAGGAGGGAGGAGCAGCAGGAAAAGGACGAGCAGGAGAAGGAGGAGGAGGATGAAGAGGAGGAGGAGGAGGAAGGGGATGAGGAGGAAGGAGGAGGAGGAGGAGGAGGAGGAGGAGGAGGAGGAGCAGCAGGAAAAGGACGAGAGGAGGAAGGAGGAGGGAGGAGGAAGAGGAGGAGGAGGAAGGAGGGGAGGAGGAGGAGGAGGAGGAGGAGGAGGAGGAGGAGAAGGAGGAGGAGGAGGAGGAGGGGGAGGAGGAGGAAGAGGAGAAGGAAGACGAGGACGAGAACAGGGAAGACGAGGAGGAGGAGGAGGAGGAAATGCAGCAGCAGGACGAGGAAAGGAAAACGAGAGAAAAAAGGCAGTGGGGGAGGGGGAGTGAGGGACGCACCGGGTCGTTTTCCCTTCAGGACGGAATTGCCAGCGTTATACATACTGACGCATCTGCCGCTTGTGTTCCACGGCACGGCAGAGACCACGACCCAGGGGTCTAGAACACCACAAAACGAGAAAACAAAACTAAATCCGAGCAAACGAGACCACGACCCAAGGGCACACGAAAACGAACCAGGGTCCGAGAAAACACGACCACGACCCAGGGGCCGAGAAAACGAGAAAACGATAAAAGGAATCAGGGCCCGAGAAAACGAGACAACGAACCAGGGGCCGAGAAAACAAGAAAACGAAAAAACGAACCGGAACAGAGAAAACGAGACCACGACCCAAAGGCCTGAGAAACAACAAAACGAGAAAACGAACCAAGCACCGCGAAAAGGAGACCACGACCCAGGAGCCGAGGAAATGAGAAAACGCGAAAACGACCCACGACCACTATAGAACGATTCTCGTCCACCGGCACCGGCACCGGCACCGGCACCGGCACCGGCACCGGCACCGGCACCGGCACCGGCACCGGCACCGGCACCGGCACTGGCGCTGGCACCGGCACCGGCACCGGCACCGGCCCCGGCACTGGCACCGGCACCGGCACCGGCACCGGCACCGGCACCGGCACCGGCACCGGCACTGGCACCGGCACCGGCACCGGCACCGGCACCGGCACCGGCACCGGCACCGGCACCGGCACCGGCGCCTGCGCCGGCGGCATTGGCACCGGCACGGGCACCAGCGCCGTCGCCGGCGCCAGCACCGGCACTGGCACCCGCACCCGCAACCGCACCGGCACCAGCCCTGGCACCGGCACCGGCACCGGCACCGGCGCCGGCGCCAGCACTGGCACCGGATGAAAAGCATCATTGACATTGAACATCATGACATTTTCCAAACAGTGCTTGCACTTAGGGGGCCTTCCCTCTTCTTTCCTAGTATTAGCTGGGTCGTCTGAGGGGCGGTCTGGCGGCTCGCTCCTCCTCGCCGTTGCCGCCCTGTCGCCGCCCGTCGTCGTCTGAGCTTGAGGGGCGGTCTGGTTTTCCGTCCTTGCCGTCGCCCCCCCTTGCTGCGTCGTCGCCGCCCGTCGTCTTGGCCTGAGGGTCGGTCTGGCGGTTCCTTGCTCGTCGCCGTCACCGTCCCGTCGCCGCCTCCTCGTCGCTGCCCTGTGCGCCCCCCCAGCGGTTGCAATCCAATCGGTTGCAAGCCAATCAAGTGCAAACCCAGTGGAATCGATTGCAGTCCAATCAATGGTAAAATTATGCAAACGCAGTTCCCCACATAAAAAATATTAACAGTTTCGTGGGACCCATGGGGTACGACAACATCAACACGAAGGAGAAGCTCATCGAACGAGTAAGTACGCACGAAAGGGCAGACGAAAGAAAGGAGGAGGGAGGACAGGTGCTCAGGAAACGAAGCCTTGTAAATAGTACGGGTTGTTGATACCCTCTTCGCTCTGGCGGGGCCCCGCTGGAAGGGGGGAGGCCTACGAAACCTGGTAAAGAGTAATGCTGTCCGCGACCCTCCTCGTTCAAGCGAGTCCTCCTCCTCCTCCTCCTCGTCGTCCTGCTCCTCCTCGTCCTCCTCATCCTCGGCATCATCATCATCATCATCATCATCATCATCATCATCATCATCATCACCAGCATCACCAGCATCATCGTCGTCATCATCAGCATCATCAGCAGCATCGTCGTCACCCCGTCGTCGTCATCATCAGCATCATCGTCATCATCATCAGTATCAACATCATCAACATCATCATCATCATCATCGTCAGCATCATCGGCATCATCATAACCATCATCATCATCCTCATCATCATCAGCATCATCATCATCGCCAGCGTCATCGTCATCATCATCATCATCATCATCATCATCATCATCATCGTCGTCGCCACCATCGTCATCATCATCATCATCATCATCAGCATCATCAGCATCGTCATCATCATCACCATTACCGTCCTTGGCATCATCATCGTCCGCATCATCGTGGACGTCATGATCATCAGCATCATCGTCGTCATCATCAACAACAGCACCGGCAACGTCAGCATCAGCAGCAGCATCGTCATTATCACCAGCATCTGCATCATCATCCTCGTCGTCGTCGCCATCGTTGCCATCATCGTCATCGTCATCATCATCGTCATCATCATCAGCATCATCATAATCACCGTTATCGCCATCGTCATCGTCCATCACCATTATCGCCATCGTCATCGTCATCGTGAACAGCAGTATAACCATCGTCATCACCATCATCATGATGAAGCCTTCCTCATCGCAGAACTCCCCCTCCTCCTCACCCTCCTCAGTGGGAGGAGTAGGACGTGAGATGGATAGGTAATGTTCTCCCCTCCTCCTCACCCATGTCAGTGGGAGGGGCACGAAACCATTTAAATAGTATGGGTTTCCGATACCCTCCTCGCTCAGACGGGGCCTCCCTGGAGAGGTGGTAGGGGCACGAAACCATGTAAATAGCATGGGTTTCCGATACCCTCCTCGCTCAGGCGGGGCCTCCCTGGAGGGGTGGGAGGGGCACGAAACCATGTAAATAGCATGGGTTTCCGATACCCTCCTCGCTCAGGCGGGGCGTCCTTGGAGAGGTGGGAAGGGCACGAAACCATGTAAATAGTATGGGTTTCCGATACCCTCCTCGCTCAGGCGGATGGAGAGGGCACGAAACCATGTAAATAGTATGGGTTTCCGATACCCTCCTCGCTCAGGCGGGGCCTGCCTGGAGGGGTGGGAGGAGCACGAAACCATGTAATCTTTATGAATTTCCGATACCCTCCTCGCTCAGGCAGGGCCTCCATGGAGAGGTGGGAAGGGCACGAAACCATGTAAATAGTACGGGTTCCCGATTCCCTCCTCGCTCAGGCAGGGCCTCCCTGGAGGGGAGGGAGGGGCACGAAACCATGTAAATAGCATGGGTTTCCGATACCCTCCTCGCTCAGTCAGGCGGGGTCTCCCTGCTGGAGGGGTGGGATACCCTCCTCGCTCAGGCGGGGCCTCCCTGGAGAGGTGGGAAGGGCACGAAACCATGTAAATAGTATGGGTTTCCGTCACACTCCTCGCTCAGGCGGGGCTTCCCTGGAGGGGCGGGAGTGGCACTGCTGGGAGGCGGGAGGCGGCAGGGAGAAGGAGAGGACGTTCTGGGAAAACATAACCCGCACCAGCACCGGCCACCGGCACCAGCACCGGCACCGGCACCGGCACCGGCCCCGGCACTGGCACCAGCACCGGCTACCGGCCACGTACCGGCACCGGCCACCAGCACCGGCACCAGCACCGGCACCGGCACCGGCACCGGCACCGGCACCGGGGCAAGAATCGTTCATGCCTTCCCACGACCCAGGGGCCGAGATCACCAAAAAACGCTTGGTTCGAGAAAACGAGACCACGACCCAGAAGCCGAGAAAACGAAGACACGAGAAAACGAAGCAGGGTCAGAGAAAACGAGACCACCACCCGGGGGCCGAGACAACGAGAAAACGAGAATACTAGAGAAAAGAAATCCACAACCCAGGGGCCGAGAAAACAATAAACGAAGCAGGGCCCGAGAAAATTGACCACGACCCAGGCGCCGAGAAGACGGGAACACAAGAACGCCAACCAGGACCAAAGAAAACGAGACCGCGACCCATGAGCCGAAAACATGAGAAAACAAGAAAACACCCAGGGGCCGAGAAAATGAGAAAACGATGAAAGGAATCAGGGCCCGAGAAAACGAGACTACGAACCACGGGCCGAGAAAACAAGAAAGCAAGAAAACGAACCACGGGTCGACGTTATTCTCCAATTCGTTCTCTAGCGCTGCGGTGCGCACCTGTCGTCAAGGATTCCGCCATTTTGCCAGAGCCCCGGAGGGGGGGAAGGAGGAGGTAGCTTCGGAAGCCCCCCCCTTTGCACAGGAGGGGGGGGGTGTAGTTTAAAGCCGTCCCCCCCTGTGTCCAGACCAAAAAAAAGGAAGGAGGGGTGGGGGTAGCTTCCGAAGCCCCCCCCGCCCTTTGAAAGGGAAGCCCGGGCTCACCTTCTGCTCCGGAAAAGGGAGGGAAGGGGGGGATAGCTTCGAAGCCCCCCTCCCTTTAGCCAGGGCCCCCCTAGCTTAGAAACCCTTCAGAAAGGAGGGGGGTGTAGCTTCGGAAGCTCCCCCCCCTTTTCGAAGGAAGGGGGGGGTAGCTTGAAGCTGGGTCCCCCTTTCGAGTATTGAATTCCGTACGGGCGCGCTCTTACGAAACTCTGATTTGGCTCTGGCCTGAAACTCTGGTTCATCTCTCTGGTTCAGCTGAAGCTCTGAATTAGCTCTGGTCTGGAACTCCGATTTAACTCTGACCTAGCTCTGGTCGGGGACAGAGCCGAATCATAATTCAATCAGAGTTCAGACCAGGGTTAAATCAGAGTTTCGAAGAAATCGAATGAAACAGAGTTCCCGGCCAGAGTTGAATCAGAGCTGGATCAGA